TTTTTCCCATGAGTAAATTTGGTTTGTAGTCTTTTGCCCCCCTAGATTTGTACTCGTCTTTTTTTTCTTCTTTGCTCTTCCCAATCTTCATGACTTTGCACTTGGTGGGGTTAAACTCCAGGAGAAAATTGGGGCCCAGGTCTGCCCCCGCCCAGATCTTTTTGTAGTTTTGCGTGGTCTTCGATCGAAGGGAAATTCTTCTCATCAACTTCACGTCATCTCCCAAACAGGGAAAATTGGGAAAGTTTTTTCCCTTCGGTCATGTCATTAACAAATACCAGAAAAATTGCACTGGCCCCTTTGGAAAGGGCCCCCTGTGGGACCCGCTTGCCCACAGGTGCCCACTTGACACCTCGCAGTCCCCGGGATTTGTGCTTTTCCTTCTGACAAGTTTTCCCCTGATCCATTGTAGTCCTTCCCTGTTACCCCTGTTTGGTCCTCCAGTTTTCCCTTTTATCTCTTGTGTGGAACTTTTAAAACGCTTCCTGCAGTCCAAAAAAATTTGCAATCCCCCCACCCCTCTCTCTCTTTTTCTTACTGCTTCTTTTTCTGTTGGGTTTCGGGGGCCACTGGCAGCATCGCCGTTTCGACCCCATTGTCTTACTGCTGTCCCCATGTGTGTACTCCCCAAAATTGTGGTTGCGGGGTCGGGGACTCAGCCCCTGGCCCCGCCTTTCATGATCGTTTCTGGATCCTCTCTCTCTTGCTTCCTGAGCTTTGTCATATCTTTTTTAAAACTAGGTATGGTTCCTGCCCCCAACAAACTTCACTTGCTGGGTTTTTCCACTTGCTGACAACTCAAATGACTGAAGAAAAAATTCCTAACGTCCCTGTGACTCGTCTGAGTCTTCAGTTCCCAGTTGTGCCCCCTTTGTCCCTGTTTTCCCCTCTCGGGGAACACCCTATCTCTGTCCACCTTGTCTTTTTCCTGCAGTATCTTGTTGTCGTTATCATTTTCTCCCCTAAACCCTTCTGCCCACCCGTGTCGTCAGCCGGGATTTCCCCTTAAACCCTTTTCCCCTCGTACAAAATTTTCCCTTGAGCTTTGGGACTAGTTTTTTGAAAAATTTTTGGGTTATTTTCTCTAACTTCTTGACGTGTTTGCCCGGGTTTGTGGGTTCCAGATGGTGCCCCTTTTTTTCCAGTTTTGGGCCAAACCCATACACAGTGTACAGTGTTTTTGAAAGATTCCCTTTTTAAGGTTTTCGGAACGCTATTTTCAGGTTTGCAGGCCCCCCGTATGCTGTAGCGGTTATTTGGTTGATGTGGGCCCCCGGTGATGTGCTCGGTGTTTTGGTCACCCCAAGGTCCCTTTTCCTTTAGTGGGTCTGTAGTCTTTGTCCACCTGCCTATACTCTGGTCTGCCGGGCTTTTTGGCCCCCTTTCCCCAAACTTCATGCTTTGATTTGGCTGGATTGAAATTTGAGAAAAACCCGTTGTGGACCCCTTGTCCAGCCTGTCCGGCTCTTTGCAGTCCTGTCATCCTGTCCATTTAAAATTTTTCTCATTAACTTCACGTATCTGCGAAAAGGGGAAATTCAGAGTCTATTCCTTCCATCATGTCCCTTAAAATAAAATCAAAAATAGCACTGGTCCCAGAACTGACCCCTGTGTGACTCCCCTCGTAACAGGGCCCACTGTGATACCCCTTTCACGTACCCTGATCGTTTCTGCCTCCCCGTCCCGGTTTTTCCCCCTTTTTAAAATTTCAGTTTCCCTCCCCTTTTTCGTGCGCCTGATCTCCCGCTTCTGCCCCTAATTCCTTGGGGAGGGAAATGTGTCAAAGGGCCCTTCCCGCAGTCTAGGAAAACGCCCAAAATTTTCCCACCCCTCTCTCTCGTGTCTTCCCTTTTGTTACCCTTTTCTTTAAAAATCCCGGAGGGTTTTTGATTTAAAAAATTTTCCTTCCTTTAACCATGTGGGGTTTTTATTTTTAATCTTGTTCCTTTCCAGGGGTTCGACCACTCTCCTCCTGATTAAACTTCTCCATTTACTTTTTACCCCAATACAGTCAAAAGACCCAGGTTTTTTAGTTTAGTGCCTCGTTTTTTGGTTTTCCCTTTTTTAAATATGGGGAAATTTCATTAGCTGTCCCTTTCCCTTTCTCAGGTTTTTGCCCAGTTTCAAGGGATGTGTTAAGATTGTGGTTTGAGGCCCTGCACGCATCTCTTCTCCTTCCCCTTTAAGGGGCCATGGGGGATGTTGTCCGGTCCATCGCCTTTGAGATGTCAAGGTCCTTAAGAGCTTCTTCAATACTCCTCAGTTGTTTTTATGTTAAACCAAACTTGTTTGGGGAATTCCCCCTTGTTTTTCCCTTTTTGGGGCTTTCTTCCCCAGCCCTTTTGTCCCCCTACTGTAAAAAATTTTCCCTTTAAAAACTCCTGGTTACTCCTCAATACTCCCGATTTTCTTGTGAGTTCTTTCCCCCTTCGTCCCCTTTAAACTGATCACCCGGTCTTTGAATGTTTTTTTCCCCCTGATGTGGCTTTTTCAACAGTTTTGGGGTTTAGTCTTGATTCTCGATGCTATGTTTAATTTTTTTACTGTCGCCCGGGGTCCCTCCTTCCTGGGGCGTACTCAAATTCTGGCTCTGCGAATGATCTCCCTATTTTCGTGTGTTCTTGCCCTTTTGTACTTCTTCCATTCTCTATTTCATTTTGTTTTTTCCCCCTTTACACCCCTCGGGTAAACCCGGGGGTCGTTTGGTCTTCCCGTTGTTTCTGTTGCCCTTGGGAATTTAACCCTTTTCCCCGCCTCCCTTTAAATTTTTTTGTTACATTTCCATCTTTTTATTTACTGGTTTCCTGCCCGTTCTCTGTCCCCCTGGACCCGCAGGAAGGGTTTTCAAAACCCCATGTAGTCCCCTTTTTTTTAGTCAGGCTTTTTCCCCTTCAACTCCTTTTTATTTTTCCAATTTGCGCTTACTATGGTTTTAAAGCACGAACCCGTGGGCGCTAGTCCTAGGGGCTCTCATTTCTTGATGTCCCCAAATTTTTCTGAAATTTCCCCGGGTGAACAAAAGGGCCAAATTTTCTGGTTTCCCCCCCCCTCTCCGGTAGGTCCTTAACATGTTTTTGGGGCTTTAAAGGGTTTTTCCAACCACGTCCCAAAATCTGGCTCTCCTTTTTTCGGGGCCCCCCTGTGGCTCCAGGTTTTCCCAGTCAATCTCCCCGTGGGGTTTATTTCCCCCCTAAACCCGCAACTTTGCTCTGCTGGAGTGAGCTCTTCTTGCCACCTTAAACAAATGTTTTCCAAACCCTTGTTGTTTTCTCTCTTTTATTTTCCTCTCTTGGCCTCTGCAGTTCTGTGGTGGATTATAAATTTCCCGCAAGACAAATTTGTGTTTTCCCCCGATGAAATGTAACCCGCTAGGGAGCTCTTTTCCCGGGCTCAACTATTTCCCTTTCCCTTTTTCCGAATTTTTCCCTCTGGTTTTTTTCGAGAGGAGCAAACCCCCCCCCCTTTCCCCTTCTTTTCTTTCCTCTGTTTTTGGTTTCCTGGTGGGAAGATTGCGTTGTTATTGTCTCCATGAGTTTTGTTTCTGTAATGCTATGATTTTCTGGGGACTTTCTTGATTTTTTTTGCCTTCCTCATTTTTTATTCGTTAATCCATCTGCTTTGTGTTTCCAAAAAATTCTGTAGACAGCCCCGTACTGTCTGAAAAGAAGCCCATGCTGGTTTTTGCCCGTTTGTTCATATTTTTGCGGGCCCCTAAGGTGCTCCATCTATAGGCCTTGCCAAATTCAGTATCCCAGACTTGCCTCACTTCACTCCACAGCGGCCTGGGATCAACAACAAGTACCCCCCAGCTTCCCCCCCTCGGGGCATGGGCCCCGCCCGGGCCAGGGCAAAACACACAAGCCTGTGTGAACCAATACGGGCATTATTAATTTAAAATAAGAAGCCTCCGTCTTCCATACCTCTGTGTGTGTGTGTGTGGGTGTGTGAGGTGTGTGTTGTGTTGTGTGTGTGTGTGGTGTGTGTGTGTGTGTGTGTGTGTGTGTGTGTGCACATCTATATAATTTGTTATTATATATCACGTCAGTGACAAGGCCATAGTTAGTGCCTGCTTCTGTCTCCTTTTTCTAAAATGGGAACTACATTTGCCGTTTTTCCATACCTCTGTGTGTGTTGTGTGTGTGGTGTCTTGTGTGTGTGTGTGTTGTGTGGTGTGTCGTGAGTGTTGTGTTTGTGGTGTGCGACATCTATAAGAATTGTTATATTATTCAGTAGCACAAGAATCATACGCAGAACCGCACGTATTCTTCGAATGATTGAATTTAGACCAACGTTTTCACCCAAATTTGGACATTACCAATGACGCTAGTCTCTGTAATGACAAATTAATAGTCCAGTGCACGAAACGTCGTCACAAGTTCAGTCTTCTGTGTGTGCTCATGTGTTTTTTCCAGTCACGGTATTGTGCCTTTTTTTATTTTAAAAGTTTAATAATAATTTTTCAATCAATTTTCTACTGCATTTAAGTCAGTAACTCACAGTATACTGAAATTTTGTACAACTCACATAACACCGCTGTTCCCTGTTTTCTCAAAGTGAAACAAAAATTGTCACTTTCTATAGTATATATCAATCCTAATTATATGACCTACTTTGATATATTTAAGAATTAACAATAAACTGTATATATATATATATATATATTCATCACTTATTCTTAATAAATAAAAAGTTGGGAACAAAATAAGATCAAGCTGATTTCATCACTAAATGTATTTTTGAAGTGTTATTATTTTAATGAAAAGTTTAATCTTCGTGAAAATGTTCCTTTAGTTTTTGTACCAAGAGATGAATGTTTGACATTATCAGCCTAGTTGTACTCGCGTCTCCCAGCTCAGGCTCATAGCTTTCATTACGTCATGCTAGAAACCCATCCTGTGTGATAAAATATGTCAGGGAAACATTGCTGGCTTATGTTCTCACTATGCATGTCATACTCAATAGAGAAGCAGTATAACAGATCACAGTGTTCTGCGTCTCAGCTGCAAGAAAGATCATGGTGTTCTCTGTCTCTTCTATACAGCAGTCCTCTGAGAAGTTCTTGTCGCTACCTCAGTGTATGCCTCTCCTGAAGGGGTCACACCACCTCCTGCAAGGACAATCACAACAGCAGCAACAGCAGGAAGAATATAGCTGCAGACTCTCTAAGGACGTCGTCAATAATACAGACAACGAAGGTAAGGGGTTCTTGAGCCTCCGTTCTCGGTGCTTCAGTTGTAGAAAGTTGGCCACTGAGGCCACAATTACCTTGAAATGTCTTAGGAAAGCTTTACTTGGAATTGACTCAAGACTGCCTTGATGGTGGCGAAGGGCTCCTGATCCCAGAAATTGCAATTACCCTCCTTCCCATCACCAAACCTGATTACTTCCTCGGACGGTGTAGCACTCTTTTTGACTCAGCGCTTATCAGTGATTATTATTATTATAATATTATTATCAGTAACAGGATATATATATATATATATTATATATAATATATATATATATATATATATAATATATATATATATATATATATATATATATATATATATATATATATATTGCGTTACCTGCTTTTCTGTCCTCGTGTATTGCATCCAGAGAGCTTGTAGCAGCGATTCTCCCTGAACATCTTAGGGACAAGATAGGAGTCCAGGACCAAAAATTCATTGACGGAGCAATGATCTGGGATAATCTAACGGGCTCTGGAGCCAGACCTGCTCCCACCAACAACTACAAACAATCGCACTGGGATGGTCCAATAGTGGAAAATATTGCCTCAACAATGCTTCAGAGTGTGTCAGGGAAGGATAGAGCCCGCCTCCCGGCAGTGAGAGCCCCTCTTGCTGGGGACTTTCTGTTGGTTGTTCCCAACTCCAGCCTTGGCACACGTCTCGACCCACAGACCATCCGCATCGGTGTTGCCCTTCGACTTGCCGCCCCTATTCTCGCCGAACACAGGTGTATTTGTGGCAGTGAAGCAGCAGACCGATTCGGGTACCATGGTCTTGTGTGCCGTAAATCCGAGGGAAAGATTGCAAGACATGAGGAGGTTAATAACATTATCAAGAGGAGCCTCACAACAGCTGGGTGCCCAGCAGTAAGGGAGCCACCCCAACTATGCAGATCTGATGGCAGCCAGAAGCGTCCAGATGGTATCACCCTTCAAGCCTGGACAGATGGGAAGCAGGTGGTGTGGGACTATACATGTGCATCTACCTTGGCTGATACCTATCTCCAATACACCAGGGAGGAAGGAGGGGCAGCTGCCAGCTTCAGGGAGTCCCAAAAGTCTAGAAAATATGGAGAACTTGCCCATCATTATATGTTTGTTCCCATAGGCTCGGAGACCCTTGGCTCATGGGGAAAGAGTGCATCTAAATTCCTTAAGGAGCTGGGAAAAAGACTCATCAGGGTAACTAGGGATCCCAGGGCAGCTAGTTTTCTGTTCCAGCGGCTCAGTGCGGCTGTTCAAAGGGGTAATGCCTGCTGTATTTTGGGCACACGCCCCAGCTCTGAGGAGCTGGATGAGATTTTCACCTTATAATCGGTGATACACACGTAACAACATGTACCGTATGTGCCACCTTTATATCAATAGTGTATCTCTTGGATCTTCTATAATTATATATATATATAATATATAATATTATATATATATATATATATATATATATATATATATAATATATATATAGTGTCGTGCCGAATAGGCAGAACTTGCGATCTTGGCTTAAATAGCAACGCTCATCTTGCCATATAGGACAAGTGAAAATTTGTGTATGCAATAATTTCGCCAAAATCATTCTGAACCTAACAAGAAAAATATATTTCACTGTGTTTGTTTAGTATTAAATTATTGTTAACAAATCTAAAATATATTTAGATGGGTTAGGCTAAAATAAATTGTTCTTGTTACAATAAGGTTAGGTAAGTTTTCTAAGATTCTTTTGGTGCAAAATTAAATTTTTTTACATCAACATTAATGAAAAAAAATATATCTTTAAACGTATAAGAGAAAATTTCGAAAAGGATTTAATTTTAAATGAGTTCTTGCTAATTGACCAGTTTTACATATTCGGCACGACATATGTATATAAATTATATATATATATATATATATATATATATATATATATATATAATATATATATATATATATATATATATATATATATATATATATATATATATATATGCACACAGCAAGGTATATGTAATGACTATAGAAAAAGGTCAGTAATAACTGTGGATAAATAATAATTGGTATGTTAGATGAATTCCCTCTATTGCTCCAGTGATTCCAGCTCTTGGACCAGTTATGTAACTAGCCTGTTGACTGCTGCCCACAGGATGGATGACTGTGGGGTGATTATCGCCCACGCTATAGTTGTCTGTGACTACTTTCTACAGGATGGATATGGAGTAACTACGTCCCTCAGGAAGGGTGTAGTGACTACCTCTTACAGGATAGATATGGGTCGATTACCGCCCACATAATGAGCATGGGTATGTAGTGACTAGCTCCAACAAGATGAGCATGAGGTGGTTCAAGACTTAAGTCTTTCTCAGATCAATGACTCAAGTATGTAGTCCTCAGACCATTTGCGTCAGTTTTGCGTCGCAGATCTGACGTACGTATGCCAAACAATCAGCTAATATACGTTAAATTACAATTTCTTCAACTAGTGAAGTTTCGTGTTGTTGGAATAAATTGCTAAACTAATAAGACAAAGTTAGAGTAGTGGTGTTTTTGGTTTAAGGTCTCTAGACCGCTTGAAGATCATTAAGGCTGTATGCCAACAGTACACCACCAATTAAGGTTACTTTCATACCTAATATGTGGATTAAAGTAAAGTTTTAGTGTGTATGCAATGAGAGATGGTCACCGTTCAGTGTTATTGCACGGAGTGATCGCATTTATCGATATGTGCAATATGACCTCATAAAAAAGAAATATTGTGCCTAGTGCTTTCGTGTTTTCTCAGGAATGTGAGGAATCACGAGCGCAAATGGAATAAAACTACTTTTCACTGTCGTTTTATTGAATATTAAGATATCACCAGTTTCTTGTGGTCTTATCGCACTTCTTGGTATATATACACTGAGACTTGTACACCTCGGTGTATATACACTTGAGATACACACATCTTGATGCATATATTCTTCTCAAAGTTAAAAAAAAATTGTGAAATTTATAATCACATCATTTATAAATACAGATATAAATCAAGTCTTCCAGCGGAAGACTTGATTTATATCTGTAGAAGAATGGAGGAAATAAAGATTGAAGCGGAGAATAGGACAAACTCAAATCATTCAACAGAGTAAAATTTCCACGTTCTAGATTTGGGAATGGTGATGCCGGAAGATCTCACATTAACGGATTGCAGCAATGTTGCTCTCACTACTTCAAGGAAAACTGGATAGGCTGGATAAGTTGGATATTCATGGTAAGACATGCTGAGCTATTGATGATACTCTCTTAGGTGGCCTGTTCACTCCAGGCTGGAATACTACTGTATACAAACGGTCCCCTTCAAAGCAGGAGAGACTGTTGGGCTAGAAAGCCTGTATACTGTACATTCAGTAAAACGTGTGAACTACTGGGAATGCTTCAAGACTCATCTTCATTTTTCGGAATGTAGGCGGGAAAGGTACATCATAATTTACACCTTGGTAATCCTGGAGAGACTAGTCCTAAACCTGCATACCAAAATCACTATTTATGAAAGTGATTTGGCAGACAGTGCAGTGCCCACAAAATTAAAAACAGGGGCGCGACGAGTACACTGAGGGAGAAAGATCGATGTGTCAGAAAACACCTGACTTTTCAGCGCCCTTCCTCCGTACATAAGGGAAATTACCTTCAAATCTTCCGTTGACTTTATGAGAGACATTGTTAGGTTCATCAGATCGTTTCCTGACCAGCCAGGCTGTTGGTTCATACATTGGACTGCGTGCTGCCTGCAGTAACAGCCTCGTTGATCAGGCCTTGATCCACTAGGATCCCTTCGGCCGGGATCCACTGGGTCTTGGCCGAAGGGAAGTTGACTCCTGAAAACTTTATGTATCCATCAAGTTTAAAAATAAAAATTAAAATGAATTCTAATTTTTCTTCTTAATTTATTAAGCGAACCTTTTCCTGATTAAACCAAAAACAGAAAAATACCTCAACAACAGCCTAAATTTAATCAGCAAATGCAATCGAGGATTTTGATATTTCCAGAGCGGCCATCAGGCCTCATGACCCCGTGTTCTGATAGCTTATGTAAATTAAAACCTGAGGAGAATGGTCGTCATATGCAGCTCGCACTTACCGTAATGCAATGCTTTGTTTTGATAACGTCTCTCTTTAGCGAAAGATTTTAGAGGAGACTTGAGTCCCCAGAGAATGGGAAGGGGAGGGGGAAGGGGTGAGGAGAGGAAGGGGAGGGGGAGGGAGGGGAAGTGGGGAAGTAGTGGTGGTCTCTACGGAGGTTACTCATTCTTAAAAGATTATAGTTAAAGACCATGCAACCCTGAAGACAGACTTACAAAATAATAATAATAATAATAATAATAAAATATTACTACTACTACTACAACCCCAGTAATGCACTACTGTCTGTAAACAGGGGAATGGACGGGACGCAGTGGTGCAGCGCTGGACCTGGAAAATAAGTTGAATCCCCGTCCATTCTTCTGTTTATTCATAACGGCTTATCCAACTTATTCTGAAATGTTCCTTATTACTAATGAAGGCGGATGTTATTAGTACATCTTTGTTTATGGATTTTTTTTTTATATAGTTTCTTAGTGGTGTATTGATTAAAAATCTTTTTTTTTTTAATGATAGGTTACAGTAATAATATTTCGGTTAGTTTACATTGAATCTCCGATTATTGTCATATTATAATAAGTGGGAAGCGCTAAACACGTAAGGGTAATACTGTTCTTTGGGAATGGGAGGCAATTAAGTTTGATACAAGAGAAGGATAACTCCACTTCCGAAAATCAAGAGCCTCTCCTCCCCTAACCGGCCTTGAGGAACTTTCCTTTGAGGGATAACGACTTTAAAATTTATCTCGCATAATCATATATTTAATTCAATATATTTCCCTTATGATATTGTAATGTAGATCTTGTTGCTGGTAAAGCCTAGTGTTGTGTGAAAAATTTCTCTGAGAAATGACTCGAAATATTTGTATTATAA